GACAGGGCATGATACATGTTTTGCTAACATGTAATAAGGACTGGAGGAGCTGTTGTGGATTTAGCCGGTCAAAGAAGGCCCTTCTGAGTAATTACCAATTGTAAGCTGAGGGTTGGGTGTAGTGGCTCATGCTTGTAATCCCAACATTTTGGGGGAGGCCAAGGAGGGTGGATCTTTTGAGGCCAGCAGTTCAAGACCAGCCTGGGCAACTTGGCGAAACCCTGTCTTTACTAAAAATACCAAAAAATTAGCCAGGTGTGGTGGTACCCACCTGTAATCCTGGCTACTCGGGAGGCTGAGGCACAAGAATGGTTTGAACCCAGAAGGTGGAGGTTGCAGTGAGCCAAGATCATGTCACTGTACTCCAGCCTGGGTGACAGCAAGGCTATCTCAAGAAACAAAGTAAGCTGAGTGTGAGGGTGGGGTGGGGGTGGGCACAGCACAAGTGGACATGCTTTTCAGGCACAGGATGGTGCATGCGAAGGCCCAGAGGCAGAAATATGTTTAGTATGTTCAAGAGCAGAGCAAAGGCAAGCGTGGCAGGAGGGTGAAAAGCAGAGGCAGTGGTGTGGAAGGAGGCCAAGAGGATTGTTTGTGGCCAGGGCTGGGTGTTGGGGTCTTAAGTGTTCAGGAAAACCATTGCAGAATCAGGCAGAAGGATGCAGTGATGGTTCCTCCTGTGTGGAAGATGAATGTAGACCTCATGGGTTCTGTTTTCTTTGTGAAGTAGCAGAGAAAATCTGGGAGAGAGAGGGTCGGGATAAAGTGTATAAAAAAGGGGCCTTTTGGCCGGGCGCGGTGGCTCACACCTGTAATCCTAGACTTTGGGAGGCCGAGGCGGGCGGATCACAAGGTCAGGAGATCGAGACCATCCTGGCTAACACCATGAAACCCTGTCTCTACTAAAAATACAAAAAATTAGCCAGGCGTGGTGGCGCGCGCCTGTAGTCCCAGCTACTCGGGAGGCTGAGGCAGGAGAATGGCATGAACCCGGGAGGCGGAGCTTGCCGTGAGCCAAGATCTCGCCACTGCACTCCAGCCTGGGCGACAGAGCAAGACTCTGTCTCAAAAAAAAAAAAAAAAGGGGGGGGGGCCTTTTGAAAGTCATTTTGGACAGTGGGGGAAAGGAACATCATATTAAAAAGTGTAATCACTTTCCAGCAGTTTGTGGGCTGGAAAATGGTGATTGTGAAGTTAAAGTGAGGCCAGTTAGCATGGTGTGTGTGTTTCCCAGCGACACTGTGGGTGTAGACCTAAGGTCAGTGGACAGTTGGTGCCACCCTGCCGTGGAGACCCCAGCAAGCAAAGCAGGAGGGGCAGCGGGTCAGTACCCCAGTGCGGCTCAGCGGGTGCAGGAGTGGAGAGCAGGTGAAGTCAGATGCAGGAGGGGTGGTGCCTGCAGGAGATTCAGGAGCCAGAGCAGTTGGGTGACAGTGTGACCACAGGAATGGTGGCAGGGGTCAGGGAGAGGAGGTCATGGGGGTGGCAAGGTCGAGGGGCTAAGAGGACTATCAGTCAGCCTCACAGGGCGAGGTCACCACAAATGGTGATGGGGAGGAGGCCAGTGAGCCAAGGGTCCTCTGTGAATCGGGGAGTGACCTGGCATTTGACAGGTGACACAAGGACACGGCGGATTAGAATAAAGTGATGATTTAAACTTGAGTTACGGTATTTAGGGAAGGAAGAGAAACTGTGTGGAAGCAGCGTGGGAGCACAGGGAGCCTCCCCTTGCCCTGGCCGGAGGCCAAGCCCTGAGAGCAGGGGCTGCCAGAGAGGGCATCAGGCAGGCAGCCAGAGCCAGTCAGGGCAAGGCCAGGGAGGGGAGGGCACCAGCGGGCATCACAAAAGATGAGGGGTGGACAGAGCAGGCTTCACAGGGGAGGAGACAGTGGCTGGGGGAAAAGGCCTGAAGAGAGGAGGTGGCCAACCCGGGTACACTAGGAGGCAGGGGCCCCAGAGTCCTCCCCTCTACAGCGGTGGTGCGGAGGCCCACGAGGCGGCTGCGGGGCAGGAGGGCTTTTTCTCTACCATGGCAGGGCCATTAGCAGGTGGGAGGAGCAGGCTGAGCTGGGGCACCCAGCATGAAGACTCGGTTGTCTGGCTCAGTTGCTGATGAAGGAGTGCCCAAGGAGCAGGAATGGGGCTGAGGGCCCTGTGGGAGGTGCCCTGCAGAGTGCAGGCTCCTGCCCGTTTCCTCGCCTGCCTCCGCCCTCTGCTCACTGGCCAGCTCTCTGCAGCTCTCTGTTCTCTTCACTCCAGGCACCGCCACTCCCACCTTTGGTCAGAACACCCCTGCGCCTGGAGTGGGCACATCAGGCAGCAGCCTCTCCTTTGGGGCATCTTCAACACCTGCCCAAGGCTTTGTTGGCATTGGACCGTTTGGTAAGCAGCAAGCTGCCCTGTGGCCCTGCTCCTCTGTCTGAGGAGGGTTTTGGTGGGGTGGCAGGCTCCTGGCCCTCTGAGGCCTGGTGAAGATCAGGTACAGCACAGGAAAGACAATTCGGGTTAGGAGTCCAGCACAGCCCAGGGATGGGAGTTGGATGGCAGAGATCAGAGAGGAGCCATCCAGGGCGGAACTTTGCCGTCCCATGGGAAGCCAGGCAAAAATAGATTCGTGGGCCTTGCTCTGAGACTCTCTGGGAGTTTGCATTTCAGGAGGCTCCTCCCGTACAGTGTTTGTGATGCAGTGGGGAAAGCCCTATTGAGGCACCCTGTGTTTGTTACTGGCCTAGCCTTCCAGAGATTGGGGCCCCCAGGGCCGGGGTCTCAGGTAGCAGCTGCCCTGATGCGGTCTTGTTGAATCTTTCCAGGATCGGCGGCCCCTTCATTTTCCATTGGTGCGGGATCCAAGACCCCAGGGGCTCGACAGCGACTGCAGGCCCGAAGGCAGCACAACCGCAAAAAATAGCCTTTGTCCCCTGTCCCTGTTTCCCTCACCCCTTCCCTTAATCTGGACCTTGGCACCTGCTGGGAAGAGCCTTTGACCCTTCGAGTTGCATAAAGTAAACCTACCCCGGATCTCTGGCTTCAGCCGCCAGGGGGTAGTGGCAGCCCTGGGGCCCTTTCCCTTCTAGAGGAAGCACAAGCCTCAGGGATGGGGAAGCAGGATGCAGAGGGCCAAAGCCCGGGACCTCTACTTGAACAGTTCCACTGGGGAGGCTGGAGAACTAAGGAAACACCTGTACATAGCGTCCGCTGCCCTGACTCCCGCTTAGCACGCCCTTAGACAGGCGCCCCTTCCACCTTTCCCCAAGAGCCGCTGTCGCTGGAGGGTGCAGGGTCCAGCCCGCCTGGATCGCTGGTGTGCACCTGATGGGATTTGGGAAATGGGTTATCCCTAAGGCTTGACCTTGCTTGGCTTAGCTGTGAGAAGTGGTTCTCTTCCTTTGGTCCCTTCTGGGGACTCTGTTTCCCCATTTCTTGCTGCTGTGTCCCTCACCGGTTCCTTGCAGGATTGATTCCTTTTTAAATGCCCTTGAATCTAGCTTTGCCTTGGAGACCCCAGTGGGTGCTGCTCCTGCCGTTTTCTTCCTGCCAAGCCTGAATCAATGTTTCATCTCCAACCCTCTGCCAGTTTGGCCCCTCAAAGCTTGGTGGCTCAAGACTGTTAGCCTGGCAGAGCCAGGGGTGAGATACCTCGCTCCAGGAGGGAGAAGCTCTTGGAGCAGGCAGGATGCCCACCGCTGCTTCAGCTGCCTCCTCGCCCAGCCACCCTTTGGCCCCATTGGGCCCTCGTCTGCCTCTCCAGGATTGTATGTTTCAAGCCTTGTCCTGTGTTCCTTTGTCTGACACTCTGTGTATTGCTCTTTGAATCGAGTTTGGAGGAAGAATTGAGTTGTATGAGTGGCGGCATGTTGGTAGTGCCGGACTTCCTGTTTCAAGTTTTCTGGGGCCTCGCTAATTGAATGTGGAAAGTAGCACCACTTGACGGCTACAAGTGCCGACTCCTGAATTTTCCAATGGTGTTCTGACTTCAAGGGCTGGCAGCCCAGGAGGATGGGGCCCCGGGGAAGCAAAGACCCTTCTTCCCTCTGCTGCTTCTGTCCCACTTACCTGACCTCACTGGAGGCTACATCACCCAAAGCAGATGTTAGAAAACCTAAATTAATGAACCATATTTTTAAAATCCTGTTTTTCCCAAACAGGGTCCTCCTCTGCAGCCCATCCTTTCCTTCCTTCCTTCTGAAACCACATACCCCAGGCCCAAGAGCCTTGCTGCCATGCCCAACCTCTTTGGGAGAAGTATGAATGCGTGTGTCTAAATTAAAAGAAAAAAATATTTAAACATTTTTTAACAAAAATTTATTTTTGTATTTAAGCTAAATTGCCTTTTAAATTCCTTCAAGCTTGGTTCATTGAGGTGGTTAAGTATAAATGCTATTGACTAGGAATCAGCTGTATAGTTAAGTTATGCCTGTGCAAAGAAGAGGCTCAAATGCTGTCCCGGGCAGCTTTCCTGGGGGACTAGAGCTCCTTCTGGCCACGTTATATAAAATGTAATTCTTATTTTATAAATAATGTGATGTAGATGTAACCGGTGCCCCCTCCCCGTTGTGACTGAGGGTGAGTGTTCGGTGGCGGGGCTGCTCCTTCCCACCCCTCAGAACAGCTCTGATCCTTGTTCATACCCGGCGGTGTGTGCAGCTGAGGAGGGAGTGAACCTCAAGCCTAAATACCTGTTAGGATTGGAGGGTCGGGGTGGGCCCGGGCCTGGGCCTAGAAATCAAGCTTCTACCTGTACCTTACGTAAGGTAGACCCTCCTAGTGTCAGTACCTGAGCTAGTTTACCTCAGTTCCGCAGGCAGGACAGCCGGTCCGGGAACCCTGAGTGAGTGTGAGTGTGGATGTGTACAGTACGCGCACTGGACAGGAGCGGGAGGCTGGGACTTTCCATTACAAGTAGAGACTTCATTCCTGTTGAGTCTAGTTGGAATTTTTAGTATGAATGTGAGATTTTTCTCCTGCTTATGTCATTAAGAATAAAAAACTGTGATCTACCATAGAGTACGTTCTGCATTTTATTTTATTTCTGCAGGCACTTTTCTCACCAGCAAGAACACAGCCCAAGGAAAGGACCCAAAAACCTTTCAAAACCCAAATTGCTGCATGCGGTGAGGGCCCAGGGTCCTCCACGGAGAGGACAGGCGTCTTCCTTTCCTACCAGGAAGGAGTCAGCCCGAAGCCGCTGCTATGTGCAAGGTGGCGTGCAAGCACCGGCTCCGGCTTTTTGCTGTCTCTTCTTTCTCTTTGGGGCTGGGCTGGGTGTGCATTCTGGTGCTGATGCTTTGGCCTGTGAGGCTGAACTAGAGAAGTGTAGATGTCAGATGTGCCGGTGCCATCCTGCATCTCCCAAGCATGCTCCCACTCACTCACCTCGGTGCCTCGACCCGTTCAATTACGGCTATGAAGAAGCCACCGCTGAGCGTGGTCTCAGGGGAGGCCCGGAGGCAGTGCTCGGCACCAGGGAACGTGCTCAGGCCTCGGTGGGGCCAGGCAGGCAGGGCAGGAGCTAGCCTGTGAGGGAAATAGCCCCAGTGCTGGGTAAGAGAGCAGCTCACCCCTGTCCCCCCTCCCACGACCCTGGCGCACGCCCCGTACCTGAAGGCACCAGGGTTCTGCTGCAGTGCATCTCGCACCACGTCTTCATTCTCCTCCTGGCAGAGGGAGCACGTGGAGTAGACGAGCCGCTTCAGGGAAGGGAAAGTGAGCGCGTGGCACAGGGCTCGCTGCTGGAACCCCGCCAGGGCATGCAGACGCGCCGGGCTAGGTGTGCCTGCCCCGGGCTCCTCCAGCTGTCTGCTCGGCATACCTAAGGAAAAGCGTGTCTCGGTCACACAGGCTGCCTCAGTCCTGAAATCCTCACTTCACAGAGAACCTTTGCCACAGGGTCCCCAGCCCATTAAAGTGTCAGAACCAAGACCAAAACAAATGATGACTCTGGGTCTAGGCTGCTGTGGACCTACAAGTCCCTCGGCCACGCTTTCTCCCCATCTCACCTGAGCCACTGCAGGAAGGATCCAGCAGGATATAGTGGACCTCACGGTAGCGTGGGTCTGAGGGGGAGACCGCCAGGAAGTCCTCCTCAGCCAGCTCACAGCAGGAGATGCCAGCCCGGGCCAGCAGCGTGGCCATTGATGCCAGCCGCTTGGCATCCAGGTCAAAGGCAAAGATCTTCCTAGGGCAGAGGGCAAAGCAGGGGTGACCTGAGCACGCATGGAGCAGCTAAGGGCCTGTCACAGCCAGCCAGAATGTGCAGGTTAAGCTAGGACACACGATATCGAAGAATGTGCAGGTTAAGCCAGGACATACAACATCGAAATGGCCTACGTTTAAAGGGCCCAGGGTCAGAGGTAACTGGCCTGGGGTCTCTGCCCCAAGGGCTAAGGGATCCACATCTCACACCTGCAGTGGGGGAAGCTTAACTTGGGCCAAATACCATGAACTGCTTTGGTGCAGCAGGAAAGAGTAAGCGGACGCCATCCTTTCAGCCTTCATTACCCACTGAAAGGCATAGAATCAAACCCCATGTCCTCCTCCCGGCTCCTGACCGTGGCACTCACCCTTGGTTCTTCAGAAAAGCAGCCAAGTGACTGGTCTTATTGCCTGGGGCGGCACAGGCATCAATGACATGGGAGCCTGGCGGAGGGTTCAGCAGCATGGCTGGGAGACAGCTTGCCTGCCGGGCAGAGCACAGGGGCCGGCTGAACAGAGACCCCAGGCTAGGCCCTTCCCACGCCTACACATTCTTCTCTTTTCTGTTCCTCTTGCTTACCCTGTCCTGCAGAATGAGGTGTCCGGCCCGGTACAGTGGGTGTTCATGCAGATCTGTCTGGGCGGGAAATACCAGCAGCTCCGGCATCAAGGGGTCCAGGAGAAAATGCTTCCCCTTGAGGGCTCGTAAGTCGTCGAGGCTGCCAGGGAAGAACCATTCATCATTTCCCGAATTTCTCCCTGCCAGGCCCCATTCCAACATGCAACAAATGTTACCCCAGCTACGGAGAAATCAACAGGGTGATAAGCTAGAGGCTGCGGAATCCTATGGAATCCTCCGCAGTTGAGGGAATGGGTTGTCAAGCCAGACTGATGGCTCAGGAGCCCCCTCTCCTGTTTACCAGCAGTGGGAGCCTGGGCAAGTGATTCAATCTCAAGGCCCACTGGCATCTCTGTAAAATAGTAGGTGTGAGGATTCAATGAGCCAATATATCCAAGATACTTACTTGGCACAAATTAATAAATGTTAGCTATTCCTGTTGAAGCATAACCTTCGAGAAAGGTTACTTTACAGGGGGGTGAGGGGATGCAGGGAGGTGAGAGCTGAGCTCATTCCTGATGGATGAGGAGTGTGAGGCACTTAGGTTAAAACTCCATTCACTGTAACTCAGTAAAGGAGGACCGCCCACTCTACCCGATCCATGCCGAAATGGGCCTAGAGAGCCACATGTCTCGGTTCAGAAATCTATCAAAGCGATAGAGCTGGAATTCAAACGCAAGCAGCTGTTCTCTGCTATTCCAGCCTGGTGTCCAAGCAACATGGTAGAGGCAGAAGAAAGGATCTTACAAAGAGTGGGGGAAAGGAAGAGGGGCAGAGGCTGCTTCTCAGAGCCACCAAAGGACAAAACGAGACAGGTGTGAGCCCAGTGCTAGTGGCATGGGACAGGGACCAGCCACTGTTGCTGGCACACTGGTGCACACAGCACCGTGGCAGATGGACCTGGAGAGAAGACAGGAGGGACAGCACAATGAAGCCAAGAAAGGGCTTAGCATGGCCGGGCGCAGTGGCTCACGCCTGTAATCCCAGCACTTTGGGAGGCCCAGGCAGGCGGATCACCTGAAGTCAGGAGTTTGAGACCAGCCTGACCAACATGGAGAAACCCCGTCTCTACTAAAAATACAAAATTAGCCGGGCACAGTGCTGCATCCCTATAATCCCAGCTACTCAGGAGGCTGAGGCAGGAGAATTGCTTGAACCTGGGAGGTAGAGGTTGCAGTGAGCCGAGATCGCGCCATTGCACTCTAGCCTGGGCAACAAGAGCGAAACTCCATCTCAGAAAAGAAAGGGCTTAGCAGGGGAGTAACAGCATCAGATCTGCCTTTAGAGCTTCCTACAGTCAACCTCAAGGAGGAAAATGCAGTGAGACAGTCTGGAAGCAGAGGGACCAGTCTGGGAAGTTCTTGTGGTCATCCCAATAAGAAATGAGTGCTTAACCTAGGCAGTGTCCAAGGGGATGAAGAGAAAGGAGTAGAGGCCAGCTGCGGTGGCTCACGCCTGTAATCCCAGCACTTTGGGAGGCCGAGGCGGGCAGATCACCTGAGTTCAGGAGTTTGAGACCAGCCTGGCCAACATGGTGAAACCTCATCTCTACTAAAAATACAAAAATTAGCTGGGCATGGTGGTGGGAGCCTCTAATCCCAGCTACTTGGGAGGCTGAGGCAGGAGCATCGCTTGAACCTGGGAGGCAGTGAACCAAGATCATGCCATTGCACTCCAGCCTGGGTGACAGAGTGAGACTCAGTCTTAAAAAAAGAGAGAAAGGAGTGGAGCTGAGAAAGATGCTGAAGGTGGGGGAGTAAATGATTGGAGGGAGGGGAAGGAAGCACCTAGGATGACTCAGTTTCTGGCTTGATCAAATGGGTGGAAGATAGTGACATCTGTTAGATTAAACTGGGGATGCACTAAGTGTAAAGTTTGAGAGGAGAGATGGCGAATGCAGCGACTGTGGCATCTGTGGTGCATTCGTGTGAACCTGAGAAGGGAGGGAAGTCTACTCTGGGCGGTGAGAATCACCAGGTCGGAGGCAGGAGTTCAAGCTAGAGAAAAAAATGTAGAGATCTAGAAAGAATGTAGGATGGGACTCCTAGGAGTTTGATGTTTAAGGGATGGGAGGAAGACAAACCTTGAAGATGGAGAAACTGCTAGAAAGGTAGGAAGAAAGCCCAGAGAGCAAAGTCACAACTATCCAGCCACTTCTCTTCCCACTACCCCACCTCCCTAGATGAGGAGGGCCAGGGCTCTAAGCTCTCACCTGGAAGCCCGACCCTGATAGGAGAAACCTTGTCTCTTGAAATAATCAACTACATCATCGGAGCAGGTCTTGAGAGTATTCACACGCACAAATCGAGGCAGCTGGGAGACTAGGACGCAATGAGCAGTGAGTAGACAGAAGCAAAGTTCCCCGCCTCCCCCACCCCCAACTCCTTCCAGCTCACCTGGACCAGGCCTGGATCCCACTTCCAACAGGTCCTCATTCCGGCTCACACCCCGATGAACCTTAAGCCGAGCCAACTCAGCCTTAAGCCTCGCCTGGTGCCGGCCCAATAGAGCCTTCCATCGGCCCCCACCACCTCGAAAGCCCTTTCCCAACAACAACTCATACACTAGCACCTGAGGATGAGGAAACAAACACGAAAACAAAAAAGCCCTAAGCATGACGCATAAATGCCTTAGAACTAACTCTGACAGAGCCCCGGCACTGGAATGGCTAAACAGATCACCTGGCAGACAAAGGTGGGGTACCTCACCCAAGATCACACCAGAAATTAACTACAGAACAGGATCAGAACCTGGCATCTTGCTTCCCAGCCTTAGACCCTTTCCCCACAGATGTTCACCAGTAGACCTCTGCACCCAACTTCTTGCCAACATTACCCTTTCGTGGGTTTGGGGTTTTAATAACTGGGGTCTAGCTCTGTAGCCCAGGCTGAAGTGCAGTGGCCAGATCATAGCTCATTGCAGCTTCGAACTCCTGGGCTCAAGTGATCCTCCCCCCTCAGCTTCCCGACTAGCTAGGACCACAGGTGCGCGCCGCCACGCCCGACTTCCTTACAGTCTCCGCCACTACTACTCTGTACTTCGGTTATTTAATTCTTCAAAACACTCTAAGTTTAAGCATTTTCATCCCATCTCAATTCGCTACCCAGGGAAGGTCTGCTCATACTCATTTCAGATGAGCGACTTGCTCCAGTCCCGCCGTGCACGGCAGCAGAGCTAAGACCAGATGACAAAGCGCACACCGTCGGGGTTCACTTCCCCGCCCCGCCCCTCCGCTCACCTTGGCCAGGTGCGGCCGCAGCTTCTTCTCCGCACGGAGGAGGCCGGCGCTGGCGATTACGGCATCCAGCACGGCGGAGTAGCGCTGCGTTTCGCACACCAGCGCGTACAGCTGCTTCACGTTCTGTAAAGCCGAGGGAGACAGGCTGGGACCGGGGCTCCGCCGGCCCTCCTCGCCGGGCCCCACCTCCCGACCCCACCGGGGCCCGTCTCACCCCACCCCGGGTTCCTCACCCCACACCCCTACTTCTCGCGCCCGGGCCCGCTACCTGGAAGTTGCTGGAGTACACCAGCCCCTTGATGGAGCCCTGGCGGTTCTCCACGCCTGCCAGCACGCCTGCCGCAACAGCGTACAGCCCCATGTTCCCGCGCGCCTTTACGGCTCTGTCGCAAAGCGCACCCGGCTCTGCGCACGCCCGAACTTCCGGGGTCAAAGAGCACGACCTTCCGGGACCGGAAGTTCCGGTCGAAGTCCCCCTGCAAGGAGTGTGTGTGATCGCGCACCTGCCGGAGTGGGGAGTGCGACTCTGCGAGTCCGTTTGGCCATTTCTTCTCTAGTTCTTCAGTCTTTGCCAATCTGATGGGCAAACAATGGGATTTTACTGCTGTTTAACTGCAGTTATTGAGGTTGAATATCTTCACATGTGTATTGGTCGTTATATGTATATATGTATAAATTTTTTTGAGATAAAGAGTCTCACTCTGTCGCACAGTGTCGTGATCTCGGCTCACTGCAACGTCCGCCTCCCGGGTTCACGCCAGTCTCCTGCCTCAGCTTCCCGAGTAACTGGGACTACAGGCGCCCGCCACCATGCCCGGCTAATTTTTCAATTTTTAGTAGAGACGGGGTTTCACATGTTGGCCAGGCTGGCCTCGAACTCCCGACCTTAGGTGATCTGCCCGCCTCGGCCTCCCAAAGTTCTGGGGTTATAGGCGTGAGCCCCCCACGCTGGCCGTAATTATGTGTCTCTGTATATTGTCTTATCTTCCTCTGTCATGTGTCCTCCAATGGCTGTGTTCTCAGGGAGGCTTTTTCTGTGCAGTGGCAGAGAAGGTCCTAGCAACTCCAGGTCCACAATGTTCACAATACCTGCCACTCACCCTGCACCAGTGACCACATTAGTCCCAGAGCCAAGCAAGAAAGCACATGGGGTATTTGGGTACCTGAAATGGGCCGGTTTGGTCAAATACAGTAAGTGATGTAGGTATGATCCAGGCCTTAAAGCCACAATAATAGTTTGTTTTTGTTTTTGTTTTTGATGAGGTCTCATTCTGTCACCCAGGCTGGAGTGCAGTGGCACCATCATAGCTCACTGCAGGCTTGAACTCCAGGGCTCAAGCAATCCTCCCACTTTACCCTCCAAGTAGCTGGGACTACAGGTGTGCACCACCACACCCAGCTAATTTTATCTTTTGTAGAGATGGGGGTCTCACCATGTTGCCTGTGGATGGTCTCGAACTACTGGCCTCAAGCGATCTTCCCACCTTGGCTTCCCAAAGCAGTGATTACAGGCATGAGCCACTGTGCCCAACAAGGATTTTGTTCTTTTATCTTGAGAGAAATGGTAGTCCTCTTAAGGATTTTAAGTCATGGAGTGCTGTGCTCACATACACTTCTTTAAAAGATCAGTCTGGCCAGGTGCAGCAGCTCACACCTGTAATTCTAGCACTTTGGGAGGCCAAGGCAGGCGGATCATTTGAGGTGAGGAGTTTGAGACCAGCCTGGCCAACATGACAAAACCCCGTCTCTACTAAAAATACAAAGATTAGCCAGGCATGGTGACAGACACCTGTAATCTCAGCTACTCGGGAGGCTGAAGCAGGAGAATCGTTTGAACCTGGGAGGCGGAGGTTGCAGTAAGCTGAGACTGTGCCACTGCACTCCAGCCTGGGGGATACAGCGAGATTCTTTCTCCAATAAATACATACATACATACATACATACATACATACATACATACATAGTCTGGCTACAGTGTGGGGATATAGGATAGAGGGAACAGAGTTGAGGAAGGGAGAGACCAATGGGGGTCATGGCAGTCACCTAAAGCAAGAACTGGTAGCCTGCACTGAGTTGGTAGCAGTGGAGTTAAGTTGAAGTTGGCAGTGCGACCACTAAGTTAAATCCCCAGAACTTGCTCAGGAAAAAGGACAGGTCAAGAGTAACTCATAGGTTTTTGGTTTGAGCAGTTGACACAGTGATGCTGTGTCTTTTGGTAGGATGGGGAAACCCAGGGTGGTGGAGTGGACAATGGCCACCCAGAGAGAGCAGGTCCTAATTCCTAGAGCCTGGAAATGTCACCTTCTACGGAAGAGATCTGTAGGAGTGATTAGGAGAAGGATTTGGAGAGAAGGTTATCCTGGATTATCGGGGCAGGCCCTACGTGGCATCACAAGTATCCCTACGAGAGAGGCAGAGAAAGGCCATGCGCAGTGGCTCACACCTGCAATCCCAGCACTTTGGGAGGCCAAGGTTGGCGGATCCCTTGAGCCCAGGAGTTCGCAACCAGCCTGGCCAACATGGTGAAACCCCATCTCTACTGAAAATACAAAAATTTGCTGGGTGTGGTGGTGCATGCCTGTAATCCCAGCTACTCAGGGGGCTGAGGCAAGGGAATTGCTTGAACCCGGGAGGCGGAAGTTGCAGTGAGCCGAGAGTGCGACATTGCACTCCAGCCTGGATGACAAGAGCAAGACTCTGTCTCAAAAAAAAAAACAAAAACAAGAGAGAAGCAGAGGAAGATTGGACTGACATATACAGAAAAGGCCGCATGAAGACAGAGGCAGAGATCGGAATGATGCAGCCACAGGCCAGGAAACACCAGGGCGTGGCAGCCACCACCTGAAGCTGAAGAGGAAAGGGGCAGGTTTTACACCACAGTCTCCAGAGGGAGCGCGGCCTTGCCATCATCGTGATCTTGGATGTCTGGCCTTCGAAACCATGAGAGATTAAATTTCTATTGTTTGAAGTCACCAAGTTTGTGGTTATTTGTTACAGTAGCCACAGGACACCACAGCCACAGGGTAAATCTCAGGGATGGGGGAGTAGGAAGATCATGAGCGCAGTTTGGGACATGCCCTTGACGTCCAGGTGGAGCTGCTGAATGGCTGGAGCTCTAGTGGATGTGGCATGTAAGAGACGGGTCTCCTGGAGAGGGAACTTCTGAGTCATCCCTGTGGAAGTGATGACTGGAGCCGTGGGTGTGGAGGTGTAGACAGCCGGAAGAGGAGCCTGGAGACCCTCAGACCATGAGTGGCGAGGAGGAGAGGCTGAATCCTCGAAGGAGACCAAGGAGAGGCAGGAGGAGAGACAGGGCTGTGGGAGGCTAAGGGCTGCTGTTTGCCCCCAGTAGGCTCCCTCAGGCCCTCTTACTGGTCTGTGCACCCAGTTTGACTTCCAGTGGCCAGAGCCAGCATCTTGGTTACAGGGCTACCCCGGAGTTTCCAGAACTCACTTAGCCTGTCATATGGTGAGTCAAAGGGGTATGGGAGGCTGGGCCCAGTGGCTCACACCTGTAATCCCAGCCCTTTGGGAGGCCAAGGTGGGAGGATTGCTTGAAGCCCAGATGAGCCTGGGTAACATAGCAAGATCCCGTCTCTACTAAAAATTTAAGTATTAGCTGGGCATGGTGGCAGACACTTGTCGTCCCAGCTACTCAGGAGGCTGAGACAGGAGGATTGCTTGAGCCCAGGAGGTCCAAGCCCAGGCTGCAGTGAGCTACGATTGCACCACTGCTCTCCAGCCTGGGTGACAGAGTGAGATCCTGTCTCTAAAACTAATGACTTGAGGCTGGGCATGGTGGCTCACGCCTGTAATCCCAGCACTTTGGGAGACTGAAACAGGTGGATTACCTGAGGTCAGGAGTTCGAGACCAGCCTGGCCAACACGGCGAAACCCCATCTCTACTAAAAATACAAAAATTAGTTGGGTGTGGGGTGCATGCCTGTAATCCCAGCTACTCAGGAGGCTGAGGCAGGAGAATCACTTGAACCTGGGAGGTGTAGGTTGCAGTGAGCAGAGATCATGCCACCGCACTCCAGCCTGGGTGACAGAGCGAGACTCCATCTCAAAAAAAAAAAAAAAGAGACTGAAGCATAAAGCAGTATGTATGTACAGCGACTAATATTTGCAAATCATTGAAAGAGAAAGAAAGAATGTCAAATTTATTATCCTTGATAGTAGTTGAAAGTTCACAGTAATAAGGAAAAAGTATACATGGGACTATTTCTGCCCTCAGCTGGAAGCGTCTGCGCAGACAGCGTGGTTAGCAGGGACCATGGGGGGCTCTGTGTGTCCCGTGGCTGCCAAGGCCTGGGGGCCAACGTTTACAAATACACCCCTGGCTGATGGCAAAGGGAATGGGGTCCTGTTCCCTATCATTACATGTTCCAGGGACACACAGGCCTAAAGACCTTCCTAAACAGTGAAGATATCACCTTGGGACCCAACAGAAGCCCGTGAGTCCCTGGTGCCCTGTGGGGATGGGCCTGTGGGCCGGCAGGACCCTGGGTGGCCCTACAGCTTGGTGGGCTGCTCAGGGCTGAAGTGGCCAGGCCCACTGGGCGGGGACAGCACCATGGGCAGCGAGTTGCTGCCCCTCTCGTGCCAGCAGGTGTCCAGGATGGGGTAGAGCTTGCCCTGGAAGTCGGCCTGGAAGGTGTAGAGCGGCCGCAGGTCATCGGGGCGGTCAGCGTCGAAGAAGGTGAGCTCACCCTGCTCGTAGTGCAGGTAGAGCCCAATGCGGTGGGGGTGGCCAGCCACGGGCAGGGGCACCCGGGGGCAGGCAAAGGCTTCATACACCCGCCCCTCCTTCAGGCCGATCAGCCACACACCGTGCTCGGGGGACCTGTTGAGCTTGCCCTTCCGGCTGGCTGTGCCCTTGATGACCCCCAGGCGCCAGTCACTCTTGCTGCCCACCACCACCTCCCAGTAGTGGCGGCCGCAGGAGAAGCCGCGGCTGGCCAGGACGCAGGTGCTGTAGTCGAAGCGCTCAGGCTGGCTGGCGCGCCGCTGGGCCAGGAGCCCACACTGCACCACCGTGTTGCCCTTGGAGAGCTCCAGGAGTGGGTGGGCAGTGGCAGGGTCCAGCTTGAGAGGCTCTGGGGCTGGGAGGGAGATCACAGAGGGCCTGTGAGGCAACGTGGAGGGCAGCAGACCCCGCCCACAGAGGCTGACGGAGGCCCTGAGCTCCCCAAGGAGAGGGGCTGTGTCTTCCTCATTTCTCTATCCCCAGGACCTAGAAGGGGCTGGTACAGGGCTGCTCCCTGAATGAATGAATGAATGAATGAATGAATGAATGAATGAATGTTTACATAAGGAAGATCAATCACAGACTGATTGCATCCACCAAAGGCAAAAACAGGGTTTATATAAAAGGGAGTGGCTTGGTGGGCTGTCGGGGGCTGAGGTGGCCGGAGAAAGAAATGGACACT